TTTGTTTTTTTATTTTTTAATATGATCCAATTATTTAGAGAATTCATTTCTATAAATATATTGTATACCTATGGTGAATTTAAAATATAAATATAATAAATTCAATTTTTATTTATAGAAAACAAAAAAACGTCATTTCTATTGGAATAAATATTTGAATTTTTAGGGTTGGTTCTAAATATTTTTCAATAAATGGCCAAATTGATAAAGGAAGCACTAAAAACAGTTTTATTATTTGTTTTAAATTGAGTCTTTTGAATGTCAAAGAAAAGAATTTAAATTGATCCAAGCATTTAGAAATAACCTCAGAAAGTTATTCTAAAGAAAAAGGATAAAAGTTTGTGTACTTGAGGAATGTTGTTCATATTACTGAGATCAATAAAAAAAAAATTCCCTCTGAGACACAGATCTAATCAACGACATTTTGGCTGAAAATGATTGTATAGTTGGCCTTTTAAATGGTTTTTGTCAAATATATTCATTTTTAATACTGCATAATTGATATATTTCCAATAGTCTTCGTCTAGTTTCTTTAATGGATAGCAAGGTCGACCATATCTCAGTGCAATTGTATGAGGGAAAATATATTTTGTATAAAGAAAAACCGACACACATTCTTTGAGTAAATTGTGACAGGTGTCCTTTTAAATACATATATATATATATATATTAACATTCCAACCACCTGAAGAAGGCTGGAAACAGGGCCAAAACCAATAAATATAGTGAAAAATTGAGGACAATGAATATAAATAATGTACATAATACCTTATCTCAAATATAGAAAGAATGAAAGGCCGAAACGTTTCTAAATATATGGCGACAAAAGATTTATACAATAGTCAAATGACTCTGATAGTATTTTTGAATCAATTTTATTTTTACTGATATTGATTTTTTGTTCTTGGCAAAAAGAGGAAGGACAATGGTTAAATACTTTTATTTTTGTACATAATAATATATCATCTTTGCTGAGTAAACGTTTTTATTTATTGGCAACTTATGGGGACAATTTTAAAATGTAAATTTTTCGACGATTTTTTTTTTTTTTTTTTTTTTTGAAGTCCTAACGAAAATTTGTAACTGCCTCAACAGGGACAATTTAAATTTAATAGTGATGTATACCTCATCAGAAATAGACAAATAATTTTACTACTTTGTATTTTATCCCAAAACCGATAGCAATATTCCCTGGCCTTTTTTTTTTTTTTTTTTTTAATTTCTTACCTTTCTAAAGTATCACCAGTAAGTGAATGTAAAAAAAAACGGCTGGAATTCGAAATCGTCTCTTCGATTTTCGTTCTGAAAGCGGACTTAGAAATTATGGCGTTGGCAATGAGGCTCTAACCCTCGCTCTAAGGTTGGGAACCATCCTTAGTCAATGACAAACATTCTATGTAGTAACGGTGCATTACAGTTAATTACTGGCTTCGTACCAAGCCAAAGGGGCATTACAGTTTCCAAGTAAACCCCTGGATTTTTCAGTGTGGCCATTTGCATAATTGTATTTATTTGTTTTTTTTTGTTATAACAAAATCGATAGTTACATATTTGCTAGTGCATTGAATAATTTGTGGTTTCTGCTGATGTTTCTACTAGATTTTTCGCCAGGTTGTCACTTCATGATAATGCACGCTTTGTAACGTGAAAGTAGAGAAATCCTTCCATCGAAGGCTTTCTCAAATTCATTTATTTTTCCTGACCCGGATGGCTTCTCTACCTTTTCTCTTGGTTTATGTTTCGCTAGCTAATACCGCTCTCTATATCGCTTCTTCTGTCTCCTGTGACAGGTTTAATTACGCGTCTTCGACATCAACCCCGTCTGATGTATTGAATCTTTGGATAGCCTTGTCCCAGAGGGTTTGATAACCAAAAAAAAAAAAAACAATGGATTAAGATCTACAAGGACAGGAAATATGAAGTGAAGGTTTCTAAGTCGCCAATTTTTTGTTTTTTTTGTGCACATAGAGAAGACTAGATTGGGCGAACTGGACTCTCCATCATCTTTACAATTGCAAAAAATGTCACCAGGCTTTCCTCTTTCCTTATTTCTTCTTGACTTCCTAGATACCCAAGATCCAAATTCTCCAAGTCTTCTTTGCTACCAAGAAAAAAGAAAAAATCGATACTTGTTTAATGCTGTATATTCCCCATCTTCTGTCTTGATAAGAGCAACACAAAATCTTTTCTCCTGGAGGTTGGGCTCCGTCTCTTTATCTCTCAGTAATTCACCTTCTGCGGCTTACAAGTATCACCTTGCTTGGGGTGAAATGATTAAAAAAAAATGTACAAAAAAAGGTGAGTAACCAATTATCACACACACACACACACACACACACACATAAAAAACACACACACACACACAAATCAAACATCTAGTTCTCACTACCTCATTAGTTCTTTTCTATGACACAAGGACAAATTTTTTATAAATATATAAAAATTTTCTCTAAACATTTATGACTAAATCCGTTTTAGCAAAACTTTTCTGGACATACTTTTCAGATGACAATTTATAAATATATTTGTCTATATTTCTGAGAAATATTATGTACATTATTTACATTATTCGGACTTGGGTGAAATTTTTTGCCATATGTTTGACAGTTGTTTCGGCCCTTTAAATATCTGTCTATATTTCTGAGATTTAAATATGTACACTATTGTCATCATTGGAAAATTGTCCTATCTTTGTCGCCATATTTATTACAACGTTTCGGCCTTTGAGTATCTGTCTATATTTCTGTTATGTTGAAGAGATCATGGGAACTATTTATGAAAAAATTCGGACTAGTGGCTATCTTTTGAAAAAAAATATTTAGCAATATTACCCTTCAGTATCTGTCTATATTTCTGAGATGAGGTACCAGCAAAAAAAAAAAGTTATTCGAACTAAAGATGCAAATGTAAAAATTGAAAAAATTTATTCAACGGAAATCACATTTACGCTGAATCTCAAAGTTGAAATGTAAGTACATGAAAACTAATTTTTCCAAACTAATTTTTAGTAATGAAGGGAGAACTACATTGGACAGATCTTATGGCTTGGCCAGTGGTGAATCCTTTATAGAAATAATCAATCATAATGACATGGTAGGAGAGATGGAGTAATGTTTAGAGCTAGAATTAACGCCTAAAATTATCCTTTCAAAAGTTGGCAATTATAAACATGATAAATGGATAATTATTACAAGGATTCTGGATAAGACATTCTTTGAATGATACAGGCCACAATCAAAATGCTTTAAGCTTAAGAGTATCTTTACAAAAGACAATCCTTTACATTGTGCAGAAATGACTATTGTTCACCTTGCCAAAAAGATTTCAAAGACATCAGATTGATAGAGTGGTCTCAAGCCACTGAAGATATTTATTCAATAGAAAACTTATGTCTCTTTATCAAAAGAGGGGTATATTGGAACAGAAAATTGGAAAGCAATAAAAACTGTTGCAATAATGTTAAAAATGAAAGAGTACAAAAAGTTAACACAATGAAAGACAAATAAGTTATAGAATATCAAGTACCCCATATTAGGAGTTAAAATAATTTATTCAGCTGTATAAGATATTGTTTTGATGAAACATGTTTTTTATGGCCTATAATTTTTGAATTTATTTATAAACAAAAATTTATGTTGGTCTTTGCACAATAAAACTCAACACTCCCAGAACAAGTTATCAATAATTTTAGTAAGGACAGATATAGGATGAAACTAAAACAATTTATATATATGTATATATTAGAACCTTAGATTTTACCAACATGATTAACGGGTTTTAATGTGGAAACATGATTTGTCAGGAAGGACTTCTTGTGCAATTTATCAGTTTCATTGTAATTTTTGGTTTGAAAGTTGAAATAGTTTAAAATAAAATGCTTCATCTAAGAAATTCATGCAAAATTTTTAGTGTAGCATATAAAATTACTTACAACACATTTTTTCCTCAAATGTTAGAATTTCATAAACTTTAAAAAAAACATTAAAAGAAAGTTGTTTTGAATAGGATCAAATCTGTAATATGAATGACGTACAAATAACATTTCATGTATCATCTAGCAATCTTTCTTTTTTTATTCTTTTTTTATATTTTTTCTTTTTTTCTACTTGTTTTTCTACTTTTTTTCTTATTTTTCTTTTCTCTTTTTTCTACTTTTTGTTCTACTTTTTGTTCTTTTTTTTATTTCTGTTTTTCTACTTTTTGTTTCTGTTGGATTATGGTTATAGTAGGTCTTATATGTCCACAAAACCAGAGGTATGAATTCATTTGTATTGATTGATTCTAAATCCATGTCCCATCACACACAGATAATCCTTGGCTCTCACACTGATTTTTTCTTTAATATATATATATAAATATAGTATATGGTTTATATTACCTATATATATATATTTGAACTATATTGTAATTCTCTTTGAATGGTTGTCACCAAAGCCAAAGAGTCTCATATGTTCTGTTATTTAATTTAAAGCTAGTGGAAGAAATGACATTCATTTCTTATCCAAACCCAGTCAATGGTGAATTCTTCAGATGACTGAATTTGAAAACGCTCACCAGATCTACTTTCTATGACAATAATTGCTACGTTACCTGCATATTTGTACTTGATAAAAATCAATGTATTATTTTTTTAATATTTAACTAATTTGAGCAAAGTCTTGGCTTAAATCTTTAGAGTTTGTGTTGCAAAGTTGTTACTTGCATGCAATAAACAGCTAAATAAACCCAAACTACTAAATAATTTCATTTCCATTGTTATTTTAAGAGTTACTCTCTTTTGGTCTGGATTGGATTTTTAATATATTCTATTAGTTTAATTAATGTATTATCAAGCCAAAAGAGATAAGCTTTATTGCCTTGTTGTTATGTGTCAGTAATTGTTTGTATCCATTCATTAGCAATATATATGCACATGTGCCAAATACAGAGTGGGCTTTTTGTTTTTTTTATTTTTCTCTATTTTCAATTTCTCCATCTTTCTCTATTTCTTTTCTATTCAGCTTTGTTCTTTCTTTTCCTACTGCCTCTCTATCTCTGTTTTTCATTCTACAACAATTTCCCTGCTTTTCTATCGCATTTATCACTCTCTCTTTCTCTATTTTTCTATCTCTTTTATCACTCTCTCCCTATTGCTTTTCTATGTCTTTTTTTTCATTCTCTCTCTTTCCCTACTGCTTTTCTATATCATTTCTCTCTCCCTCTCTACTGCTATTCTATCTCTCTCTACTGCTATTCTATCTCTCTCTACTGCTATATCTATTTTCCTGACTATTCTCTTCTATCTCTCTACTGCTATTCTTTCTCTCTCTTTTACTCATTTTCTCTCTATCTACTTCTTTTATATTTCTCTCTCCTTTATTACTGCTTTTCTATCTCTAATATCCAATCTTTTCAATCTCTTTTCTTTTTTTCTTCCTCTACTTCCCCCTCTATTCCATATCTCTCTCTTCCCTGGCGACCCCCCCCCCCTCTCTACTTCCCCCTCTCCCCTACTTCCCCCCCTCTCCTTCCCCCTACTTCCGATAAACTCTCCACCCACTACTTTTTTTCTCTTGCACTCTCTGTGTGGGGGGGGGCGCAGACAGAATAGGGCTCTCTCTCTCTCTCTCTTGCTTTTCTCTCTCTCTCTCTCTCTCTCTTTTGCTTTTTTTCTCTCTCTCTCTTGCTTCTCTCTCTCTCGCTTTTCTCTACTGCTTCACTCACCCTATCTACCTGGGGGTGTTTACAATCTCTTTTCTCTTTAATTCTTTCTCTTATAACCTGAAAAAAAGTTTGAGTTATCTTTTATTTCCTCTTTTCTGTTTTTCTCTTTTTTCTTTCTTTTCTTTTTCTTCCTTAGATTTGTTCTTTGTTTATGCATTCATTCACTCACTCAATTACCTGCATAGTAAGCTTTATAGCATCTAAAAATCAAATAAAGGTTTCTATTATTCATCACTATGACAACAAAACATGAAAGATTTAATGTCTTGGGGAAATTGATAATTTCAAACAAAGACATGACCAGATCCAAGTCCATTGCTAATATTTCCTTTCTGAGCCTCATTTTCTTTTTATGAGTTCATAAGATTCACTCCTAGCACTTCTTGGTGTTTGCGTGTTCTGGAATATTTGTAAAGTGTATTCTTTGACTTACAAACTGTTAACAACATATCATGTTCAGTCTCATGTTGATCTCAGCAGAGACGGGTCACTGTTGAACAGTTGTTGCTTTGTCACTTAGCATTGTACTAGCACAACCATTGATAGTTTACAAGACATTTCATCAACTAATTTCACTTACAAACCTTGGGTCAACCAGTGATATGATTTCCCAATATTATCACATGCTGGAATCATAACTCCCAGGAGGATATTATCAAGAAAATATATTCTTGACTAATCAACATTAATGAAATTCCAACACTTTAGCTAATCAAGCATGTGATAGTGTCCAACAGCCATTTTTTTCCTTAAATTTTTGCCAACTTTTTCCTTGAAGAAGATTATTGGGAGTTTCATTGATTCTGTTTCAAGTGCAGTTGAAAAAGGAATTTTTATCCTCTACTTTGAAACCGTATGTAAGGTTTCTAGGAAATTTTCATGTTCATGATTACTTCAAAAATATCAGAACATAATATTTCTAGCATATTGTAGGTATGATTCTAAAAGATGCAAATTGAAATAATTTTCCATTTTTGAACTGGTCTTTATTGAATGAAATAGACAAGATTCAGAAACAGACGTTTTATGAAATTAGACCTTAATTCAGATATTTGTGTGTTTCATCTGTTTTCTTTGTTGCTGTTTTTTAATTTTTATCTTTTAAGCAGTGTTCACAAAACACTTCACAAAAAAAAATGTGCTTACACCCTTTCAGCATCACAGCAACAATATGATGTTAACTTTGAAACTTCACAACTAGCTTTGATTATCTTACTTAGATATAGTGATTTCAATGTAACGCTGTGAATTTGAACATTTTTTTTACTTGAATAGTAAGAGAAAGCATTTTTGGTTCCACTTGTAAATGTTTTATGTCTTTTTGAGGAACATTGAAATATGAAAGTCACAAATCAAACACCTGAAATGTTAGTTTACCTCTTTTATAAAGAAAACTAATCATTTCAGTGATTATGCCAATGAAAACCACTTGGCTTTTACAATAATATCTATCCTCCCTGGGGATTAAAGTTTATATAGATATTGAATTTATTGTAAGCAAAATTTGTACAGTCATCTTTACTTTTATTCCTAATGTTCTATAGTAGAATGCCTATGATGGGACATAGTTAAAAGACAGAACTTGGAGTGGGGGTAAAATATGAGTTTTTGTTTGTTTTAAGAGATATTCTGTTATGGCCTAAGCTATTGACTTTAAGTAAATCTTTGTTGATATGCATTGCATTTAATTTTTCAAAAAAGTAATAGTTAAAAAATAAGACTGCAATTTTTTTAATTCCTTATGAAAACTGCTTACGCCACCACCACATCAATATTTTTTTGACATTTATAAGTTAAGACTAGAACAATGAGAATTCTCCAGAGACTAAATAGACTTGCTGTGAAATAGATATTAGGCAGAACAGATGGCAGAGAATAAAATGAAAACAAGGCATGAATTTCAGAAAGGGGAGATGTCACACAATTTTGTTTAGATTGATTCTCACTAGTCAGTACTGTATCACATGAATTAAAACTGCAGATAACTATATATCTATCTATCTATCTATCTATATATATATATATATATACACACACACACACACACACACACAAAATTAACTGATTTTAATGCATGTGATACAGTATTGACCAATGAGAATCAATCCAAACAAAAGTGAAAATACTAAAATTCTGTCTTTTTGTCTGTTTTCTCTCAATCTCTGAAGCTTTAATAAAAGTGAAACATGTTAAATTAATAAACATTTCATATTTGTTCTTTACTTTATCCTCCTGTTGAACTCTGACCCATATTTGATCTGCAACTTATATAACTTTTAAAAATATATTTTGCAATGTAGTTTTAATTTAATAAAAATTTTCAGCAAAAAAGATCAACCAGAATGAAATTGTGGTTGATGGTTCCACAGATGGTAATGTCCTACATTTGAACACCATTCAAGTAGGCAAAATTTTATCACTTCCTACTAATTTTTCCATTATTTCATTGCTCCTATGTTTAGCTTTGGTAATTTTCTGTGTAAACAGACTAAATATTTTGGGATTGTCATTGATCAAGCATGAAATACAATTCCAAAAACCAAATTAACATTTAAAATTGATTAAAGTTTTGGGATTAACTATTTTTATTAATATCTCTTTATTAAGTTTTAAGTGAGATGTTCTATGTAACACTCAAGGTCTATGACAGGTCATAAAAGGATTTTCTTTTAATTTTAAGGATGTAGACTGGAGAGAAAGGTTAACCAATGGTCACAGTTTCTTATTTCAAGTCAACCAAGTTGGAGTGTCTTTCAAATAAAATGTTGGTCACTTAAGAGTCAAATAATAGTCTCTATATGAATGCACTTTGTAAAATAACCTCTTCTTTTTTTTCATTTGAAGAATGCTTACTGGTTGCTTTCTGTGTATTCTATAGCCAAAGCCATATCAGCATGGTCATGGAATTGGTGATTTATTAGTTGGTCATGTATTTCTTAACCCTCTCATGTGGCCAAATATGAAAGACATGTCCCTTGATCATACCATCCCTGAGCCACTTTAAGATATATATTAACTAGAAGACTGAAAAATATTTTAGCTGAGATATGCTATAAACATCATCAATGACAAGGATATTAGTTAAGAAAAATATGTAAAATAATCTAAAGAATTACCTACCTGCTTGAACCAATGTCTCCAAAATTTCCAGTAAATTATCATAGTTCTGTTGATAAATAG